CATTTTTTGCTAACACTTTCCAGCTGTTTCTGTCTGTTTACTCTGTTTACTAGCTTCACTTATTTTTGAAATAAAAAACTCAAAAAATTTACGATTACCAAAAGTCTTTTACTCATTATTGCTTTCATCCCAACATGCCAGTCAGTTCTTTCGTCTTTCCTTACTACACCCTTAAAATATTGCGATTAAACTAAGAAAAACATGAAAATGCCAAAACTGAGTTGTCCCAAAAGATAATCAAACAACTATGAATCACAATTCAGCAACAACAGTGAGGGTACCTTTTACAGCAGTCTCGAAATGCTCTGAAGCTGTCTGCAATTCAACCACAATTTTGAAGCATTTCAGAAAAATCAATTACGTTTAGCTCATTTACGACGGCAAGAGGGAGATTTAGAATACGGAAGAACAATGAGCTATAAAACTACAGCGGAAAACTAATTGTAAAATGTTGTTAATTGCACTCATACAAAGATGTTAAAACAATACAATACAGTCAATTATTCTATTTTAGTGCTGGAGTAAGATTATAAGACTGAACACTGAATGGTTTATGCAGAGCGGTGACTAAATGGTATCAAGTATAGCCCACCTGCTGCAAAGTTCCAACAATCGTATTTTGCAAACATTAATAAAGTCCGGTAGATTTAAAAAAAGCGCACGAAACCTCCCAACTGCTACATTTTCAATGCTGCCAAACATGAATTACTAAACAATTTTTTGCTCCTTTCTATAGTTGAAAATTTTCTAATAAATATCACTACGCAAAGGCAACATCTGTCGCTTTCAAATTTTTGCAATTAGAGCATAACTTTGCGGTAACTCGTTACAGCACACCTCAGTTTAACTAAAATCTCTTTCCTCCTTCTGTACACACACTAATTAATTATCTCTCCGACCACTGTTCTTTAAAAGTAATTCATAAAACAAAATTAACAAAGAGAACATTACTGCATTCTTTGATTACTAAACTAAACCACAACGCTTACAAGTGAAAAGAAAATAAAAAAAACGGAAGGAAAAAGCGAAAGAAAACGAAGTCTATAAGCAATTCTTTCACAAATTTATCACAGTCACATTCAACCTGACAAATTCAAAAACTTTCTATTATGTTCCAGCTAATCTTGTATGATAAGCTAATAATCTGAAACAAAAGTTCCTTTTGCCAACGTTAAATATTAATGAGACATTACCCGCCAAAAAAAGATATGCAAACATTTGCAACGCCTTAATTGCACTAATACACAAAAAAACTTCCAATATTAAAGTAGGAAACACCTAGAACATAAGGAGTCACCACTCACTCGGAAAAATCATCTCAATAAACTCCTCAACTGCACCTAGAACCGTACTACACAGAGCGTTTGAAATATTGAACAAAATGATGGCTCTGAAAATAGCAATAACCATGCTACAAACATCCCAGCACGACGATGAATCATTCCCCGCCGACCCTTGATGCTAAAATCACTCCCTTTAAGCAAATATCCGGAAAAAAAAAACAATGCTTTTAACGAAACAGAACACCTTCTCTTCAGACTTTCCACATTTCATCTCCCGGCAATGGCTCCTGTAAATTAAAATTCAGAAAACTAACACACAACAAAAAAAAGTAAAAAATAAGAACACCAATAACAATCACAATCATAATAATAATAATAATAATAATAA